CAATTAGCAAATAATTTCACAATACACAAAACACACAAAAATGGGTAGTATTCATTATCATAATCATAATCTCAAGGCTGGTGTCCTGTTGCTTTTGTGTGTGCTGCTGTCATCATCACTGATTCCTCATGTCCTGTGTTCAAACTTGAAGGAGGAGGCGGACGAGAGTCGGACGACGTACATCGTGAGGGTCCAACCGAGCATGAAGCCATCAAGTTTTGCACACGCACGAGATTGGTACAGAGCCAGCCTCAAAGGAAATTACAAGCATGACGAGGAGAGGTTTGTTCACGTTTATGACAAAGCACTCCATGGCTTCTCAGCTAGACTGACTAGGCAAGAAGCTGCACAGCTTTCAGACCAGCCGGGAATCATATCCATTGTGCCCGACCGCCTTCACCAACTCCACACCACTCGCTCTCCTACTTTCCTCGGCATTCAGTCCTCTGCCAATGACAATGACGGGCTGCTGTCGGAGTCCGATTTGGGCTCGAACGTGATCATCGGTGTTTTCGACAGCGGCATCTGGCCCGAACACCGAAGCTTCCACGACCAAGGTCTTGACCCCATCTCTCCCGACATCTGGAGAGGGGAGTGTGAGGAAGGCGAGAACTTCACAAGAGCCAACTGCAACAACAAAATCATTGGGGCCAGGTTCTTCTCCAAAGGTTATGCAGCTGCTGCACATGAAGAGGTTGTACCAAACGGCCAACTCAAGGAATTCAAGTCCCCACGAGACTCCCTAGGACATGGCACCCACACCGCATCCATCGCCGCAGGCAGAGCAGTCCCCAACGCCACCTTTTTCGGCCACGCCACCGGCGTTGCTTCCGGGGTCGCCCCGAAAGCGCGCATCGCCGTCTACAAAGTCTGCTGGAAAAATGGGTGCATGACTTCCGACATCTTTGCCGCCTTCGACAAGGCCGTCTCTGACGGAGTCCACATAATCTCCCTATCCATCGACTCCGCGCAGGAGCCGTACGAGATCGACCCAGTTTCTGTCGGGGCCTTTGGAGCCATGCAGCGAGGGGTGTTCGTGTCTGCCTCTGCAGGGAATGAGGGCCCAGGCGAGAGGACGGTCTCCAACATCGCCCCGTGGATCACGACCGTCGGCGCAAGCTCCATCGACAGGCGGTTCCCAGCAGACGTCGTGCTCGGGGATGGGAAGGTCATCAGCGGCGTGTCGCTTTACGGCGGTGGCCCACTCCTACCCAGTGACACCTTTCTCCCCCTCACATACAGTAACAGCTGCACGGACGGGTTCAATGGCGACTTGGTCCGTGGCAAGATCGTCGTCTGCCCTCGTGGGCCTGGACAATTGGGAGAGCCTGTGGCTGAGGCCGGGGGCGCTGGTGTGGTCGTCATCGGTGGCACCGGCTTCCTGGCCGAACCTCACGTGCTTCCGGGCCTCACCGTAGAAGAGTCCGTGGGGGACGCAATCCTCCGCTACATCAACTCTTCGGGAGCCAACGCCAGCGCCACCATCGTCTTCCACCCCACGGATCTCGGCTTCCATCCAGCTCCTGCCCTTGCTTTCTTCTCTTCCAGAGGCCCCGCGTTCGAGACACGCTACTATCTCAAGCCCGAGCTGATTGCCCCGGGAGTCAACATACTCGCCGCCTGGCCCGACGGCCTGTCCCCGACCGGGCTTTCCACAGACACACGCCACACAGAGTTCAACATCCTCTCCGGCACGTCCATGTCCTGCCCCCACGTCTCGGGCATCGCCGCCCTGCTCAAGGGGGCGCACCCCGACTGGTCTCCTGCCATGATCCGATCTGCCATGATGACCACCGCCTACACCCGGGACAGCGAGGGATGGCCCATACTGGACGACGGGGCCGAGGCATCCGTGTGGGCCAGGGGGGCCGGCCACGTGGACCCACACAAGGCCAGCGACCCGGGACTGGTGTACGATGTGACCGCCGATGACTATTTGAGATTGCATTGTCTCCGCCTTGGCCCCCCAGACAATGACGATTACGGCCCCATCGATCCTCCCTACATTGGCTGCAGCGGCTCCCAACCAGCTTTCGACAACGGCGCCGATCTGAATCTTCCGGCCATCGCCACTGTTCTCCAATCGGATATCAGTAGTCCTGTCACCATTAGTAGGACCGTCACCCATGTAGCTGAGGGGCCCGCCACTTACAACGTTGCTGTCGTTAATCCCTCGAATGGCCTCATGCATGTGACCGTCAATCCCAGCACGATGGTGTTTAAGGCCAAGGGGGAAAAGCAGAGCTACTCAGTCACCATACATCCCCTCACCGTCTCTCAAGCATTCGCCAACATTGTCTGGTCAGACGGCCTACACAACGTCGTCTCCCCCGTCGTCATCTCCTGGAAATAAATTCATTACTTAGTTATTAGTACTCTATCATTACTGTTAGTTACTATTATGGCTCACTGTTCTTCTCCATTTTCAGTGTACATTTGTTTGGTTTTTTCTTACTTGTAACTCAGTTTTATCAAGATGAATAGACTAACATTTCTAGAAACATCTCTCAATTTAAAAAATTTAACACAGATATGAGGATCCCTACATCCCCACAACAGCTTCAATCAATTTGAAAATTGATTCATTCCAGTCTCCAATTAACTCTTCCTACAAAACCAAAAATCCTCTTGCTCCAAATAACAAAAATTAGGGATTATCATTACCATTACCAAGAATTGAACAAAACGCAATTAACCAAACCAAAATCAGCAGGAAGAAAGTCCTCACCATTTCTTGCTGAGAATAACCCTAATCTCCCCATCATCCAGCTGCTGTTCGGGCCTCAACCGGTTACCGGGATGTTGGGCCACTGGAGTTGCCGGCTCCGGAAAGCCCACATGAGCGACCACTTTCCCGGCGCCCTCATCCATTCTCTCGTCGGCCGGCGGCGGCGGTTTGTGGAGGCGCAGCTGTCGGGCTCAATAAGGTTTTGGGGTGCGCCAGGATCCATGATAAATGACGACTCCGGCGATGGATTAGGGATCGGAGATGGCGATGGTATTAGGGATCTGAGATGACAAAAAATGGAAGACACGTGGGTCACGATGGGTGTTACTAACGGACAAATGCTTAAATAATAGCAGATGTAAAAGCATCCTTAATTGGAATATGGGAAAACAGATTAAGAAGGTGGGAAATACTACGGTCCCCGTTACGGTACCATTTCGTCAAATATTTTAACCGTTAAATCTGTATGTAGTTATATAAGATAGATGAATCAACGGTGAAAACACTTGACGGGATGGTACCTTAACGGGACCGTAGAATTTCCCGAACAAGGTAACTTTAGGGTGGACAAATAAATCGAATTTATCGCAAATAAATCGAAGTTATCGGTACTGAAATGGTCCCATTTCGAAAAATGAAGTTTCAAACATTTTTTTTTTTTTTT